CCTTGTGTGCAGACAAATACATGGAGGAGAGAGTTTATGAGTACGATTTTAAATGATCTTTGAACCTTATATATGATCTTCATTGATAACGATATTACGATAAGCATTACTAAGCAAATTATTGGCAAATGTATTAATAAGCAAAAATTTTATCTGGTAACGGGCTACCGATGATGAGTTTGTGTGACCAGATTTGTATTAAAAAACGCGTTTTTTTTTTATTTAAAAAAAAAAGTTACTTAAATAACATGCCATTAGAATCTGGTTTATATACTTCAACTCGAGAGAAAATAACTAATAATACCATGCGTTCAACTCCACGTTTTAAACTTTAAAACTTTATTAAAAAAAATTTTTTTCAATAGCAACAGCAAAAAATTCTTCTGGCTTGATTTAATAAAAATCGCTGTTAAAAAAAAATTTAATTGGATGATCAAATAAGCCGATCAAATATTCTCAAATTTGATCACGTTTTAGGATTGGATTTTGCGATCAAAAATCCGAGTGATCAAGAAATGAATCTAATAATCTATGGTTTTACGGTTATAAGATAACAACATATGAAAAAATTAAGAAAAAGTCTTAAATGATGCAGAAGGAGAGTATTAATAGGCACAGAAGAAGTTGGAAGAGTGGAAGAAAAGGAAGTATAAAGAGAAGTGGAAATGAGGAACGAAAAACAGGAGAAAAGGTGGGAAGATAGGATAAAGGAGTTGAAAAAGAAAACGGAGGAGTTGGAGAAATGAGATAGTAAAATGGAGTAAAAAGTTAAGTGACTCAAGGGGAAAGGCAATGAACAAATTTGTGTAAAAAAAATATACAAAAAATTATTTTCTTTTTATTCCATTCCATTTATTTATTTATTTGGTATACTTTAACTAATTTGTACTTCTTTGTTTCTGTTTCATTATTTTTGCTGCTGCTTCTCATTTGACATCATAGAGATAGACGTTGATGAAAATAATGGTAAATACCATTTGCATTTTTTTCTTTTGTATTTATTATCTCATTTTTAATTAAATATGCAATCTTTTTGTTCACCTCTTTCTCACGTAAATAATCTTGGTAAAAGTACAAGAGCAATTGCTCATCCTGATTGAATTCAATGAAACGTAAAATGGAAAAATATAGAATTCCAGGTGGAGAGAGTATGGATCCACTTGAGGCCCCAGCTATCTCTACACAAGGTATGTAATACCACTTCACTTGTTCACACAATTTTTTGTTTTGTTTTAAAATATTAATATTTACCAAAAATTGATAAAGAAACGGATATTGGTAGGTTATTATGACAAATTCACTCAATATGATGAACTTTCCTTTCACCTCAATAACCAGAATCTATTGACCATATAAGTAAATCAAAGCATGCTCACAAAGGACGTTCCATGATCTAGTGCTGAAAAGATTATTTTACATACCTCTGACAGATCAAGAGAAGAGATTATCTACTATCGCACTGCACGAGTACAATAATTAAGAATTGCAGTGGTTTGTTACACTTCTTAAACGGACTCTAGAAAATTTAGGGTGGAGAGAGACAGAAATTTCTTACAATGATGATTCTGACTGCATCAACTTCTAAGATGGCTAAAGCATGGAAGTTCTTTCAGGGGATTGTTTCAAAGGGCATGTAGGTCACATAATTGCAGTCAAGATTGCAAGAAATACCAGATCAAAGAAGAAGTGAGACTTTTATGAAAATGATTTTGTAATCCAAATGTGCTTTATTCTAATGAGGATTCCTTTGCCATGAAGCCTCTCAATTATGAAATACGTAAATTCGGTAAATTAGAATAATTAAGACTATACAAAATGTTCTTACACAAGGTATTGTGCATCGGGATCTTCGCAGGTGTAATATCCTCAGAGACAAGCATTTCATTACCATTTGCTGGTGGACTTGACTGTGCATTAGATTTAGTGTTGGAATCAGTGAGTGATAGAAGGGAGATTGTTTATCAAGAGTCAGATGATTTGATTGGCTATTGAGAAGTTTTTACTTGACTTTACATGATTCAGTTGAACTTCCTTTAGAAAATACAAATTGTCAAAAGTATGCTAGCAGAATGTTAGATCTTTGGAAAGTGCATGGGAATCCAACTTATGAAAGGAGCTATTTGAACTCGCTAGAATCGTGATTATGAAGGGTTGAAGATTAGGATTGGTGAGGTTATCTTGAAGGTGTGGTAATTGGTCTAACAAGATAAGCAACACGAGAATTTTTCATAAGCCGTTCTGCTGTGTGGCACAAGTACAATTAAACTAAAAAAAACGATTTCTTTGATGTTACTTTTATAAAATAAAACTTTAAGCCAGGATATAACCAAGCCTTGAGTGCCCAAATAGAAGATTTGTTCGATTAACCGTTTTGTCTTATTCTTTCATTTAAAAAAAAATTTTTTTAAAAAAAAGGATTATTGTTTTATAATTTGTTGTATAAATATATTTATGATTTTTTTTCCTTAACGTTAACAAATAGTCAAAAATGAAACAAATCCTAGGAACCAGAAGATTTTCATCCATCTCTGACTGATTAAAATATCTATCGATCCTAACCTATTAAAATAAATATATTTGAAATATCGATTTGTTTGAAAAAATAAAAAAATTTCATCAATATAACCAACCATCTTTAGAGTTGGCAAATCGGTCTATTATAACCTTGAGATTTATTTTCAACATATTAAAAATTGTATTCTAAATCAACAAGCATGGTTCTTCAACGACAGGTTTGATTATTTCTTCAAAGATGTGCTGATACAACAATAGGAATTAAACGATCGGTGGTATCGATTCGAATGGCAGCATAGAGGTAGCATACATATGCACAGAATCGGAAAGAAGCGGAACGCGCCTGCTTTTTTTTTTTTCAACTAAATTTTGGCGCAGAATACACTCATTGTTTTTTATAAAGAAGTTGCTTATGAAATTAAAAATAAAGGTATTAAACCACTCTCTTCGGAACCAAATCTTGAGATCGTAAAGTTACATGATTAACATTTGTTTCTATAGCCGTTGAAAGTTGAGGGGATATAAACTTGTTTTCAATTCATCCGCAGCATCAGCAACCAAAATATTACCTTAGATATATCAAAAAGGTTTTATACCAGTTTATAATACTTTTAGTGAAAAGTATTTTCACCAAAATTAAATAATTTTAAAGATAATTCAACAATCTTCTTTCTTTGTTTTTTAATGTTGAATCTTTCCCGATCAACATCCTCAACACCTGGATTTTCATCTTATCAATTTTTTAACTTCCAAGTTGACACCTTTAATAATTCTAGCATTTCTTTTCTTTAATCGCAGCTTGTTAAATATAAGATAATAGTTTTGAAGTGTCACTCTTCATGTTCTTTCGTTTAAAAATTTTGGGTTAATCGCGTTTAGCATCTTGAATAGGGGCGAAATGTTGTTAGGAATAATTGATGGGATCATTTATACCCACCATTTTTCGCGTGTGAGATTAATTATTCTTAAAAAGAATACCCTTGTCCGAAAACCATCAATATTTATAATGTTTTTTTTTAAAAAAATAATCGACAAACTTATGATTGGATATTTTGCCACTTTCGTGGCAAAATCCACCAATCAAGTAAATGCATTGCTCATAGTTACTGTTATAATTATCATCCGTGGTCGTGTTATTTATAACATTTTACTCGAACAGAAATTTAGCATGTTAAAAATTAAGGTTAAAATTTAAAGTTTATTGAAATCAATAATCAATATACAGTAAATACAAAATTGTCCGGTTAGGAAATAGTGTGAAAATTTTATAACCACGTGAGTATTTCCGTTTGTCTCGCCGCATGTACGATAAGATCAGTAAATATTAATATTAATAATATTAATAATAAAAAAAAAAATAATAAAAAATAATAAAAATAAAAAAAAATAAAAATAATGATAATAATTATAAAAAATTTTTTACATATTTAATTAATTAATTTATTTATATTTATTGATTTTAAACAAAAAATTTCGCTACGGACTTAAAATGGTTTCCATTTCCTAGTTTTATAAAAATTATATGTCAAGTGAATAAAAATTAAGACTCATTGTGGCTCAAGAAGGTTTCTAAAGAGTACGAAGAGAAAAAATTAAGTTCATTTAGTATCACGAATCGCATGCTCGGTAAAACGATAATTAATTAATGAACAAGAACATACCTGGATTGAAGAAGTAATATTCCAAATTATCTTTTGTCTTGTTGAAAAGTTCATTTTTGCAAATACAGGAGACTTGAGTACACATTTTATCAAGTATAGTTTTTGCTTTAACTTCACGTTGTTTTTGTTTCAGAAAAACTGGACCACAATTCTTTTCTTCTTTGGAAAATAAACTAAAATACTTTGGTAATGCACTATTATCACATTCAAAAGAGGATGTACCATAAGCATTGGAATTAGGATAATTTGAAATGACGAGTGTATAAAAGGTAAATTTGGGTAAGGTAACATAATGATTATTTTTTACATCAAAAGCGAACGCGTATATTCCGATATTATTATCGTTAGTTTTATAAAAATGATGACCAATAACGAGAAATTCATTTTCTAAATGATTTAACACAGGGATTCCAAAGATAGCAAAATTCTTTAGGCTTGGTTTGAATTTCAATAACTCCCTATTGGACATGATCGCATTTTTTGACGCATCAAAATCATGTCTTTCTATATGTAATTGAACATCAAAATCTCTGAGGGCAAAATCCAAATCTGTGCGATAACCAACGACCATCCATCGGATTTTCAATTTACATTCACGTTTTTTAAATTCATTTTGAATACAATGAATTATAAGGCTTGGTTGTTCATCTGACGAATAAAGGATTTGACAATGAAAGAAATCATTCTTCCCATCTTTCGTGTCAATGACCGTTGCGAAAAAGTTACAATCAGCTTCCTTGTTATGTACAATCTTTAAAACATTAGGTGGTATATTCACCAATTCAACAACTTTGGGTTTTCCATGTGCCTCCAACAAATAATCGATGGTTTCAACTTTTGAATAAATAATTTTTTTTCCAACGAGTGAAGAGAAATCCTTTTGTAATTCTGTCTCCTTTAAAAATTTAAAGATACAAGCAGGATTTTGAAATTCTATGCAATCCCAATTTCTATAATCACTCAAAGATTTATACCAAGAATCTTCGTCAAACTTTGTAATATCGGGCACCTTTCCTCCGATTAACTTTAAACAATCGCGTTGTGAGTAATCGGAACTTTCATTTGAAGATTTAGAAGCGAGACCTAATTTTGCAGCTGCGGCTCCGGAACTTAGATTCGCCGAAACTTCATTAGAACTTTCATTTGAAAGTTCTTTTGAAACCTTTAACCCTTCAATATAAGCCTTACCACCAAAGATAACTTCAGTTGAGATGAATTGACCAAATTCCTCAAGGATTAACTTCAACTTCTTTACGTCCTTTGAATTTAAAGCATCTTTTACCGCATCAATAAATTCTTCTCTTGGTTTTAAATATTTACTAAATTCTAGAGAAGCTCTTTCATATTGTGTGCAATGATATGATAAATTAGTTTCAGAACTTGATTTTTCGCTTCTTTTTATTTCGGAAGAGATTCCTAATTTCGCGTAATACTGTGCACTCATATCCGCGGAAAAGTAAGAATTTGATGACATCATCCATTCTTCTTTTGATTCGAATTTATAATTGTTACTTTCATTCATTAAAGTTAATTTGCAATCTGTCATCTCATACGCTTGCTTATCAGCTTCTTTAATTTCACCTTGATCGATGATACGTCCAAATTCTAATTGACTCTTTTTATTTAAGTATTTCCAATCCAGGGTTGAACTTTTCCTTAGATACAACTTGTAACTTTTCGATTCTTCATCATTAATCATTTGTATAATCTCAGCCAAAGTCTTGTGTCCTTCATCTTCTTCTGATATTTTTGAAAAGGTATTCCCTTCTTTGTTGGTTTTATATTTCGCAAATGATAATGTACTATTAATATTAACCGAACTTTTTTGTTCGAGTAGCTTTCGGATATTTGATAAATTGTCATCAAGGTTCAAATTGACTAATGTTGAATTGGCTAGTTCTTCTTCCACTTGAACATCCACTTCAACAACTTTACTAGGAGGTTTAACGGCCTCTTTTAGATTAACATCAACTTTGCCATTAATAGTTTTAGTTTGAGCAATTGTTTTCATTTTAAATATCGCGATATATAGAATTGAGGAAGATAAAAACGAAGGGTGATTAAGACGTGGAAGGAAAATTTCATCTATTTAAATTTTTCAAACCCACAGATCAATTGATTATGCATCATTGTCAGATATGTCGCGATTAAAATGAACCATATATATCAAGCTGGAAAGTGCATATAATGAACAAATTCATGAGATGGGGAGAAAAATGTGGGGTAACGATACTGTTACAGTTAAAGATCGTCGGTTCACGGATTTTTCTTTTAAAATTGGATTTAATTCCGAACATAATAAATTTTTTTAGCACGCTATACGGAAAGCCCGTTTTAACAAAAAAATTAGAGTCCTTCGTAAAATGTGAACCAGATTTATATTGTAAGTAGCAGCAATATGATCACTTAGTTATACATGTGGGACATTTGAAGGCGAAATGAATTATAATAATAATAATAATAAAATTTAGAGTCACTTAATCTTGAGAACAGTCATATTTAAAATCATGTGACTAAAACTTTTCAAGGGCATATCTAGGGATGACTAACCACTTAACATATCAATCATAAGAAAAAGACATTTCTATGGACTTTTACCAGTCTTTTATGGGATGGTACTGCTTGTGATGTTCGCAAATCAAAAAAAAAAGTTGAAGACTTATTTGGTAATTGTAAAAGAAACAAAAACGTCGAGAACAAAGTCAAATGTACATCATTGCCAATTTTGGTATGTTTTCCGAAATTAAATCATTGAAGTAATGACGAAGATTTCAACCCGTTCATACTAATATAATTCACTCTATATCTGAAGGTGTTTGATATGGGCGTAAGTAGTTTTGTCCACAAGTCCGAAACCTTATTTGGAAAGTTAATCAGCTTCGCTCGAAATATTAGCCGTATTGCACATTATGGCCTTTAGTGATAGCACATGCTATCCGTTTGAGCTGATGATTTTAATAATTTAATAAACCTGCACAAAACAAGCTTAACCAATGTATTTTTTGTATTTATCTGGACTCGTATTCGAATATTATATTAATTCGAATCTAGGCTCAATGCTTACTCGAGTTAACTACTAACTACATTAACTTCGAGTGCATTCTACACTTTGTTAATGTAACCATACAATTATTTCTTAAATTCTAGCCCGAGTTAGTTAGCATTTTGTCACCAGAAGATAGATAATCGAATTTACATAATTGATTTTTTCTTGGCAAAAATTAATAAATTCCTGAAGAGTCAAACAAATTCATGTGTTAGTGCATTAACAAACTCATTGTTAATGTAAATTTAAGAACGGGGTCGTATAGATTATAAATATATATATATATATATATATATTTTAAATTTTTAATTCACTGAAAATTTTCTATAAACTAGCGAGTAATTTTTTTTCGAGCACCCACCGGTGGTCATATGATTTATGTGATAGTGTGATGATTGTGATGTTATTATTAAATGATAAAAATGATAGTAGTATAGTATTTATAAGTAAATTATTTTATGATAAATCAATTTGAATTGGGTATTATTTATACAGTATTAAGTATTTTTTAGAAAATGGTGTTATATTATATTTAGTAAAAAAATTTTTGCTTACTGTTTGATTTTATACTATAATAATAAAGTTTGAAGTTTTTATATTGTTATAATTTTGTTTTAGAATTTTTAATAATTTAAAAAAAGTTTAATATTTGTATTCAAAAAAGTTAAAAAAAATTTGAAATATTTTTTATATTACAAAAAAAATAAAATAATTAATTAATTAATGATTTATTATATTTTATTTGTTTAAATTGTTTTTATAAAAGATATAAAATAATTAAAAATTAAAAAAAAAATGTAATTAACTAATGATTTTTTAAAGATAATAAATAATAAATTATTATAAAAAAAATTAAAATTTTAAACCCATACTCTCAGAAATATAAAAATACTACCATTTAATAAATTTTAATGTGGTAAATCCAATAAACTAAATTTTATATTTTTTATAATTATTAAATAATATAAATTATTTTTAAAATTAAAAAATTAAAAAATTAACATATATTAATAATTATAAATTTTAAAAGTTTAAAAATACTATCATTAAATAAATACATCATAATATAATAAATCTAAAAATTTTATTTATTTTTTTATAATTATTAGATATTAAAATATTTTAAGTTTTCTAAAATATTTTAGACACAATTTATACTATAGTTTAAAAGATATGTTAAATTTGTATATAGTTTTAATTATGTAATTATATTTATTATTTTATTATTAATTAATTTTTGTTGATTATATTTATTATAAAAATGTTAATCAATATTTTAAACTAATTAGAAAAAAGTTTTTTTATAAATATAGTATAATGTGAATTAGAATCATATGAAATGTTTGTTAGAAAAATAGGATTCTGGAAATTTTTTTGACTAAAATTAAGATCTTATTACATTTTAATCTAATAACATCAAAAATTAAAATACAATAAAATCAAAATATTTGTTAAAAAATTTTCAAAGCCCCATTTTCCTAGCAAACCTCCCATATTAAATATTTAAGTAATAGAATAATTAAATATATTGTATTAAATTTGAATAAATAATATAATATAAAATATGATTTTTTTGATTTATGATGAATATTTAGTAGAAGTATTATTATAAGATATAGTTAGTTTAGTATTTAATTATAAGTGTATTATAAATTTATAATTAAATAAATTGAGTGAATAATTTATAAACTTAATAATAATGAATATATTATAAAAATAAATGAAAATTTGTTATAGATATAGCTTTTAATCATTAATTTTCTAAGATTATATTAAAATTAATCATAAAAGTGAACTATTAAGATAAGATATATTAATATTATTATAGTTAAAGTATCTACTAAGTGAGACATAAGCTTAGTTAATTGAAATTATATTTCTATCTAAGTAAGAATGATTTTAGATAAAGTTAATCTTTAGATTTGTGAATAGTAAATGCAAAATAATTTTATATTAGATAATAGATTCAGCAATAATTATTTTCATTAATTTTAAAATAATAAATATATTTTTGAACATCTAAATCTATAATAAATCCTCATATAAAAAAGTAACACATGCAGAATATTTTATTAAATTTATATCAGTAATTATACCTACCATGCCATTACATATTTCTTGATTAATAAAAGAATTATTAAGATATATAATACATATATCTTATTATAATTTAATACAAGATAGTAAATTAGTTTTTTGTTTAAATATTTTATTATATAAAGATCAGTTCTATAGTATAGAGCTACAAAATTAGAAGCTTAAAAAAATAAGAACTTATTATTAAGAACTGATATATTATTACAAATTATTATATTAATTATTTAAGCATTTTCTTTGAATCTGATAATATGTTTAATATTAAATGATATTTCAACTGCAAATCTGGTTAAAATTTAGAATAGCATCATTATAAAGAAATTCAGATATATTACCTATTCATACTTTCTTTAAGATATAATAAAATTTTAAATCATTATTTTGACATTATAAGATTCTTAAAAATAATAATTAGAGTAATTATTAAGTAGTCGTACAAAATACAGTTTGACCAGTTACAGGTAAAAGTTATGCTAGATCACTTACTACTATGATATTTATACTATCAAAAACAATAATATTATTATGAAAACTTGTAAAAATATTTAAAATAAAATTTAGCAGTTTAGCAAAAATCATAGATATTTATTTAATAATTAAAGTATTAATTTTATTTAATCAGGTTTTTAGTTTATTATCTGTATAAGTACGTGTGTAAAAATCTTCTTATATAATTATAACTTGTAATTTAGAATAAATTGTTTTATACTTATATTTTAAGTATCTACTCCTATTAGTGCTGATAAAAATAAGTAATTAGAATATTTTTGATTAAGCATATTAATTATCATATAAATTATATAGGATTTTCTAATATTAGTTGAACCTGTTATAAAAAAAATATGATCATTTTATCCTATTATTTCTTCTTAGATATATTGTATTATAATAATAGATAATATACAATATTAATTTTATAGTAATTCTAATATAACAGTTTCTAAAAATATATAAAAAAGTAATTTAAATTTTCTAATTATGTTTATATGATGTATAAAATATTTGATGGGATTTATTAATTTAAAGATAATATTAGCTTATTTAACATTTCAAAGAATTAATAATTTAATCATATAATATATGATTATTAAGTAATATTAATAGATTTATATGTTAGTTAAGAAGTTTAAAAATAGAGATAAAACCTTTCTCAATAAGTTCTATCTAGTTTAATTTTAAAATTTAATTTATTTTTTATTAGAACTTTTAAAGTAATTATTGGTAAAAATATAGCTTACTATTTTCAATTTTTAGAAATTAGTACCTTAATAATTATTTTAAGAATATTTAATAACATAATTATCTAGATCATCATGATAAATTTGATGTGATATAAAGGTAAAAGATAAAAGTATAATAGAATATATTTTAAAGTATTGAGGATATATTAAGTTATTAAATTCAAGAAAGTAAGGTCAAGATATATACTTCATAATATTATCATCATAGTAAAGATTTTTGTTATCTACTTTTATTATATAATTAGGATTATAATACAGATCCTTATATAAGGTATTTCAATTATAAGAAATTTTATGGCAATAGAAAAATTGTAAATATGATATTCAAGAAGAAAAAAAATAAGCTTTATAGATCTAAACCTTTATACTATAATATATTTTCTTAGTAAATTATTTTCTCAAATGTTAAAAATGCGAGATAATTAAATTTTAGTTATATATTTTATTATATATCAGATGAAACTTTTATCTGTTTTATATTAGGTATTCATATATATATTCTAAATTAAAAGAATTGCTAAATGATATAAAATAACTCATGAATTAGCTTCAGTTAGATATTTATAAATATAATGAGAATTTCTTCTTCATAATAAATTATCTAACTATAAGATTATAGAAATCCCT